AAAGTCAAGTGATGGTCTTACTGCGGGTCTGTTCAACCCCGAGCCTCGCTCATTCTGGATAGTTGGGAAACTGAACTCGATTTGCGAGGCTGAGGATGCGCTCAACTTCTTTGAATCTGCCCTCCCACCCGGCCTAATCTGCAACTATAGCTGTCCCCCAAAATATATATACGCCAAGTTATCCGTAGGCAAGAATTAAATCATACAGATAGAAAACAAATAATAACTGGATGTCATCAATGTCATCATAGGGCCTGGTGCATTCTTAGCTTATTATGACATTGCAAACTGGAGTAAAATCAAAAGTTAGGACTATTCGCGCGACTTGCATATATTATAGGCAGTATTGGCTTCGTCCTGAGACGAAAATGTTTTCAGATGATCTTAACCTGTTTGTGGAACTGGGCGAGCAGAAATTAAGATGAATTAAATCCGGAATAGAAAAAACAGACTGGAGGAATTGGGAGACCAAGAAAGGATGAAATTTATTAAATTAGTGGACCGAACCAGAGAAATACCACGGAGACATTTTTATAACGAATTTGATAAACAGAATTTTAGAAAAATAGTTAAAACAGGAAAACGTCCCGAAGATTTTTTTTAGAAATAGAATTTTAAGGACGAGAAATTGGAAATGATACAGGCAAGGATCCAGGGAGGCGAGATGTGAAGTACGAGAAGGCAGGGGCGAAAAGTGTCTAATAGAGTCGAGACTTAAGGACCGTCAGCGACAAAAGGCAAGCGGTGCTGACGTGAAGCCGACTTTGGCCCGAAATTTCGACCAAAACAAAAAACCGAAAACCAGATCTCAATCCAACGGACCGGACGTTTTCCGCGATCCGCAACAGAGGATCATTGGAGTGGATCATGAAGCGGCATATCCGAAAAAAAATTACTGACGTTACACGACCACATTTCCGGCCAGAAAAGCGACTTCACTGTACCGCCACTCTTGACACCAGGCCGTTTCGTTCCTGTCCATCTCAGTTTCAACCCCTAGGCACTTTGGTCTCTCAGCCTTCTCACGCTCTAATTATACTCATCTCCCTAGTCTTCCGGTGGCCTGAATAACTGTAATTCTCTCCCTAAATTATATTTCTAAATTCTATTACCGAATATTATAGTCTTGTAACATTTATTTTTCTAAATTCCATTTATCAAATTTTATTTTCAAGTTTGCACCTTGTTTCTTCCACCGCCTTAAAGCGAGCCATGGAGCAGACTTACAGATCGGAACACAATCCGAGCATGGAGAGTTACTCTGTGTGCTGAGGTGGAGATGCGCATGCGAGCGCGATGGAGCCGGGAGCGCAGCGAGGAGCCGAAGCAAGCGGCGAGGGACGCCTCGCGGAGCGCCTCGGAGGCGCCGAAAACCACGCGTGCTGATTATTTTTAGCGGCCATCGTGATTTATTCGGGAGAGGCGTATCACGCTTCAAGCGTCGGCCGGCAGTACAGTTCACACGCGGCGACGCATTCCAGATAGCCGGCAGCGGCGAGACGGTGGAGTTGGGACGCGCGGAGTGAGGAGATACAGGGGGACAGGGGGGCACAAGGATCCCCGAGGGGATTCGAAGGGGCCCGCCGGACAGTCTGGACGCGTGCACGGAAAACACGGCTCGGTGAGGCCGACAGGCTATACGCCTAAGCAACCGCGCGACCGCTTGATAGTAATTGATACCGTTTTCGTAAACGAGTAAAAATCAGCGCCGGAACCAGTCGCGCGCGCGCGTAGAGTTTCCCTAGGGGCGAGCGATCGGTTCGGCGGCGCTCTTTTTATGAATTAATTTGGGCGAACGGGCCAGATGTCACGTCGGCGACGCGGTGGCTGGGGAAGAAACGGTGAAGGCGGAGGAGGACGAGCGGCGGCGCGCGCGACCGCGAACACCCGGACAGTCGCCGGTGCCCGGACGCTCATTGCATACAATTTTGGAGAAGCCCTTGGCGTCCCTTGGCCTTAATTCCCATTCGGCACCGCCTCCGCGGCGCCTTCCGCGCGCCTTCGCGCCCCCGCCCCCGGCCCCGCCCACGCCCCGCTTGCACTCCTGCCCACTCCCGTCCCCGCCCTTTCCCATACCCGTCCCCGCCCTGTCCCCGCCCCTGTCCCCGTCCCCGTGCCCGTGCCCCCGTCGCCCGTGCCCGTGCCGTGCCCGTGCCCCGTGCCCGTGCCCGTCCCCGTCTATATCCCGGTTCCCATTTCCTCGTCTCTGCCCGACCCTTCTCCCGTCCGCCTCCCTCCCCTATGTCCGCCCGTCCCACTTCGCCTCCCCGTCCCCCTCCCCCGACTCCGCCCCGTCCCGCCCTCACAGTCGACCCTGGCCCCGTCCCCGCGGCGCGCC